AAATAAAGAACCTTGACCCTTGAACCTTGTAAATACACAATGACAGCTTTCCTGGTTCAATAAAATAGATTGTCTTGACGCATGCTCCATCATCAATGTACGTAGACCCCAAAAAGTTGATTCTGTTCATCTGGGAATGAAATAGTAACTCCTATGCAATGCCACTTAAATTTATGAAAAATGTGTATGTGTCCATACACTGTAATATGAACAAGAAAATAAGTAAAGTCCTACTCTGAAAATGAAAATGGGGAAGAAAGAAATCAGACATTGTCTAGGTAAATGATTTTTCTCACTATCCGTTGTATTATGTTAATTAATTAATTTTTTATGTGTTGTATGTCTGTGTTTTATGTCTATGGTTTGTCAGATAAATTTAATTTCAATTCAGATTTGCTTTATTTTCATTTAGATCTAATTTATCTTCGACACACGAGCCATTTACAAAATTTATACTGATTTTACTGCATGTTCTAGTTGATATTTCATCAATGGAGGTTAGCCTCATGTAGTTTGACAACGAATACTGACATTAAGTAGTTTATTTTGAAATCTCACAGACCGGACGTTTGTAGTGATTTTTTCCCGCTTGTATTCAGCTCTGCTCGGTCAGCAGCTTTGTTTCAAGCGCCACACATTCGCTCACTCTTGGCGAGGAAGTAAGAAAGCGGCACAAGTTTTGTGAATAGACACGGGGTTTGATTCAGATTACACCCATCGCTGGTTTGCTTGTTTTATTTCCAGCCTCGTGTTGAGCTGGTACTGTGACCGGCAGCATCACGGATCATTTTATACCGCCACAGTGTGAGCAGGGTCCGACGGAGCCGCTAAAGTGTCCTTTGGTGTTCGCCCCCCACCCCAAAACAGAAACCGGAATCATTTGGACTCTTCGGGGAAGTTTGCGCCACAGAAGTGGTAAGAAGTGTTTCACGGTGCTGTGTGTGCAGGTTTGAAAGTTTGCCGATCATGTGGAGCAGGTGCAGGTTGCCACAAACTGGTACCCCTGAACTGTCACCCTAAAAAAACCGATGTGAACCCTCTGTGCGTTAACATGCGGTGCGATGTTTCACTGCATTTCCTTTATACGATTTTGTTTTAAGTGAGAGTTTTTGTAACCGAACTAATCCCTTGAGCTAGATCGACAGCCTAATAATGGAGCCGTGTTTGCACGAGAGCCATCTGTCTCATGTATCGCCACTGTTTCTAGTCCTTGCCTGTCGCTGCTGCTTTGGGGTGGGCACTTTTAATAAGATTAAGGTAAGATTTAGGTTGATTTAATCTTATCACAGTAAACCTGTCTTCATTCATTAAAAGCAGCCGAAGGTCCCTCGGTCTTCACGAGCGGGCTGACAGATTACCACAACCTCAACTTTTGCCCTTAATGTCAAGTGACATGAGGTTATTATTATCATTTCTCAGTCTAGAGAGTTGGATCGTTGCCTCTGTGAATAAAACCTGGATATAAAGTTTTTTGGGAACAAATTGGCAGAAAATGTATCAAATTGAGCTTCAAAATCCAGTTAGAAATAGGGGCACTCTGACAATACACCCAATTAGGGAAGAGCCCACTAGAGAAGTCACAGCAACACAGTATTGTAAATTCAGTCTGTAGTACACTAAACTCTTGCTCAATTTATATACTCTCTAGAGGCTTCTTGCATCATATATACCATGTTTGAGTAGGCTGCTATACCAAGTTGTTCACACATAGTAAGTATCCCTTCACTGACTTCCAGTGAAGCTAGGAATCTTTCCTGTTATTAGCATATAAGGCTCCACATGGACAGGTCCCTGCTTATATAGCAGAGCCTTTTAAACTTTATCACTGCAGCCGGTGTCTCTGATCTTCTAACCAGAGTCTCCTAACTATTCCTCGCTCTACTTTTAAAATGAGAGGCGCTCATGCTTTGAGGTTGTGGCACCCAAACTGTGGAACAGCCTTCCTCAGCCTATCAGGTCAGCCGATTCCATTATTAGTTTTAAACAACAGCTGAAAACACATTTTTATTGGTTAGCTTTCTCTTAATCTTTTCCTCTTAATTTTGGGATGTCATTTACAGCTCTTTGTATGTATGGAAATATGCATGTTGGAATGCATGCCATGTCTGTATGTCTGTATTTGAACATGTATATTTTAAAGTGTGCATTTTATCCAAACTGTGAAGCGCTACGTAACTCTGTGTCTTGAAAAGTGCTATACAAACACACTTATTGTTATGAAGTGATAGTTTTCAGGCGCAACGTTTCTTTGTCGTTCCTAGGAAGCTAAATAAAGGTTCCACTTAGTTTGCCAACTAACAGCACATGATCTGTGGATGGTCTGCGTACTGTGTCACTGCTCAGACACACAGCAGAACACACTGTTAACGCTGCGTCTGCCAAGGAAGTTCACACAGCGTTACTGACAGATTGACTGAGGTGTGTCTCTGGTTGTTTTTTTTCCTCAAAGAGCTGTTAGTAGTAGGATATTAGCCAAGCCCTTCAATAAGCCAGAATGAGCCTCTTTCTTAAGGACTGTAAAATGTACATTGATTTATTTTGGATAAGAAATATTTCTCCAACTCATAATCAGTCAGCACCCAGACCTCCATGTTGATGTGCTAAGACATAATAACCCTGTACACTGGTTACAAATGCTCTGAAAAATCCAGAATAAGTCAAAGGTTGCTTTTATGAATGAGACTCTGAGTATTAAGGACCTTCAAACATCTCTTACTTCACTGGGATTGTACTTATATGAATATATGGTCTGGTGTTTGTTTTAAATTATAAATATTATAATATTATTAAAAAATAAATATAGTAACAGTTTTTCCAGATTTTAAATAAACAAACAAAAATGGGCACTTTTCTTCTTTGTCATTGTGATTTTTATCACTTGTTTGCCTTTGGCATCGCCCTTTGTTTGCCTTAACACTGGCACTGTCACAAGAATAATTCTGGTGCCGAGTAAACTTTATTCCATTCTAAAAAATATATAAACTTAAAAAAAAACTATAAATATATAAAATAGAAGAGCCACATTAACCTTAACTCTGTCCTCGAGACCTTCATTTTTGTCTTGCGTTGATTCTGTGAGATAAAACAGAAGAGCAGGAGAAAGGAAAAAAATGTTAAATCCAAATCATGTGTCACCCAGCAGGTTTAACTGAAGTGAACTTTAGCTTATCTGTATTGGCACAAATGAAGCTGATGTACTGAAAGCCTTCAGCTGGTGGGCTGTTTCATATCGTACAGTGTGCAACAATAACAAAAAAAAAGAAGGACGAGCACATCCTGTAGAATCTGTGTTGCTGTTTAATACTGTTGTCTAAAAAACAAACAGTGATTCACATCAGTGTGCTTTGACGTCATGGGTGATATCTGACTACTTTACTTGATAGTGACATTTGCTGTTAAAAGCACACAAACTATGGATAAAAAAAAAAGCCTATTTAATGTGAATTATTATGCTAATTTTT